TCCTGAAATTGCTAGTTGGATGCCTATTTGACTGGTTAAAATTAAATATACTGTCTTTTAGGGAAATGTTCCAAGTTAGCCGGAAAGCAGTTTTTGCAGGAATGCACAATGATGAGGGGCATCACCACTGACAAGGAGTATCAACAGAGTGGTCTTCCATTCTAAGGGGAACATTTCAGTTTTAGAAAAGCATTGCACATTGTTTTCAAGACTTTCTTTTGGAACTAGATTGTATCACCACTATAAATTATGCACTTTTAAAATGCTCACATTGAATTGTTGTTAATATACTTTGCAGAGAGCATGGTGGTAATTTTTCCTTATTGCTCCTGGTTTTCATTCCTACTGATACTGGCTTATAGGAAGAACTGAACTACTCACAGAACAAAGCAGCTGCTCCTTATCTGCCAGGTGACCATGAAACTGCTTCTGTCAATTTTCTTCAACAGATCGTTCAACAGCCAGAAGCCACTGCTATTCACATTTATTTATGACCTCGGACATCTAACTATTGACATGTTTTACTACTTTCTCTTGGACTCCTATGTTATTAATCAGGCAGTTGTCTATGCTGAATTTATTCTAGGTGGAAAGTATTACCAATTAATTGTATGAAAGACACTACTAAAATAAGGTTTGGGTGACCCTTACATTCACTAATAGCTACTGTTTGACCTACATATAAATTGGAAGAAAACATCCCTCCGAGCCTTGTTTCTGTCTGGTTACAAGAATGCTCTTACTGAAGCTCTAATGTTTCTGAAGGAAAACATACACTTAAAGGCAATAAGGCCTGAAAATCAGCTCTTCCTCTAAGGCTCATGCAGAGCTTACCTGCAGAGTTACACAGTACTGAAGCACAACAAAGTATGAGGAGAGCTTCACTTGAGTACCACTCACTTGAATGGCTCCCTGGGGCCAAAATTAAAAGGCACAGCTTTGAGCAGTCTCAGTAGTCCTTCAAAGTATGTTCGGCTTTCTGTTGGGTAACAAACCAAAGTACGGCCTACGGCTAGCGCACTCTCACAGTAGCTGAACCTGGATGATATTAAGCACTGTTACAGATCTTTCTCCACATTTTATTGTGGGCAAGGGTTCCTCATAGAACATCCCAGGTTACAAGGGATGTTGAAAGATCATCTGGTCCAACATTTTGTGGGAAAGGAGTTATGCTCATCCACAGAAGTACAGCACCTCTAATGTGAATGATTAATTCTGTCCACCTCAAGTGAACAGTTCTTTTTAAAAGAAATGTACTTATATACGTTGTCTTTACAATAAGTCTCAGTTAACACAATGCATATTGAAAGGTGTAGTTCAGATTTCTGCTTATCTGTGGAAGATTCACCATCAGCAGTTATACTGTCAAAGAGAAGAAAACCAGAAAAACTTTGAAAAATGCTTAAAAGCTGACCAATTGGTTTTGGAAAAGGCTTTACACAACTTCTTTAGGCTAGTGCTCTTTAAATAACCAGTCACTTATGAATACACTGGCTATGCGCCTATTACTGAAAGTAAATAGGAAACAAAATACTTAAAAATCTGTCACAGCTCTTCTAGATGTACACGTCAGCATAAATCTCAAAGCAAACTAAACAATAAAGGAATTATAGTGTCAAGAAAATTATGTCACCTTTCCCTGGCAATGCTGTTTTCTGAAAAAGGAGTTTGCTATTCACTTTTCAAACTTTTCACTTATTCAAATGGTCTCAGAAATTTTCAGTTATTTTTGTACTAACATGAGGATCTCCTGAAATCAAGTTTACTCACCCCCTTGATATCCACCACCTGCCTGTGGGAAACAATCTATGACCCTGTAGGTCCCAATGCCCTCACGTTGCTGGCAATGTATCCAGCCAGGGCAAGGAAAAAGGAGCAGTGGGAACTCTGCAATACTATACTAAAGAATTTATTGCATTACTTGAGATGAAACTGCTATCTGCCTCAGGTTTTGTGCACATGGCAAGAGATGAGGAGCCTATTTACAGTATTACATATTTCCTGAGGCAGTCTGAATGTTAAAATGTCTATCTGCACTGCATGAACGCAGGAAAGTGCCTGCAATAAGTTAAAGGCAATGATGTTTCTACCACTAGTGAGTATCCTATAAAACAGCCAAAACTGTAACAATCTGACAGACTCTGGTACGTGTATAGAAAAACACTTTCCAGCCTTCTGTCCCTGGGAATAACAGAACTTTTTGATCTCTAGAATAAAAGAGCAGATGCTGAAAGCCCTGAGGGCAGTGATAAACCCTACTAGCCCTGTTGAGTCTCCCTTGAGGACTCTCCCCTGCACCCTGCCCATGGGCTAACATGGCCCATTTCAGTCTGCCCCAGTGGTGTTAGTTCCTGCCTGAGCTATGCTGTAGGAGTGCTTGTCTCCAAACCGATCTGTGGCTCTGCTGCCCGGGTGGACCTCAGACCTGTGCTATAGGTAGCTTTATTTCTGAGGACTCCTTGGATGTACATTGTAGCTCTTCTCCAGTTCTGACTTTGCTCCTGTCTCTTGGATGGACCCACACTGTGGCCTTGTCCCCACCCCTGTCTCTGGGCCCATCTCCTGCTGTTCCAGATGGGCCCTGAACCTGACTTATAACTTGCCTTGTCTGGGATGGCCAATGAAGCTTGTTACCAGAGCCTTACTCTGCCCACTCCATTTGCCTGCTGTGGGACTGTCCCCCAGACAATGAGGGCACTGCCCATGCTCTAGCTGCTCTGGGTGTCTGGCTCCTATCACCTCGTGCAGCCCCACTCTTGCTGCTCCCTGGACAGAGTCTGTGCGGCTGGTGAGGTCACAACACCTTGCAGTGGACTTTATGCACCTCTCTCAAGCAAATCCATGCAGAACAGAGATGAAATGTAGCAGTAGGGCAGCACATTCCCCATTTTCTGAGGATAACCTCTGCTCCTTCAATGTAGTCTCTTCACAGGTGGAAAATTCACTGAGAATATTTGCTATTTTCCACTTGTTTAAAAAAAAAAAGTGTTAAATACTGGGCATTGATTGTAGGTTACTTTAGGAGATACACAAGCCTAAACTTTGATAGCATGTCACTTCTCTCACATTGCATACCTTGTAACAAGTAGAACAATCCATTGATGCAAAAAAGATTCAATTTTAAAAGGAATGTTCTGATTTAGTTAGATGAATGCTGCAAGTATATGCTTTATTGTTTTCCAGTATTGTTTGTTAGGATTCATTAGACAGGAAACATGTTCAGATCACACTTGTTGTGACACATATCAAAAGGTTACTCTAAGTCCCCTAAAATGAACTCTTACGTCTGTCTCTTACCATGACTTATTTTCATTTCATCTGTGCCTTGCCTATACAGCACAAAGAACCATACTTAAAATGGTCAGCTTAATTGCAACTGATAAACAATCTGTGCTATAATGAAGTTTGCCATAGCTGTGGTGCACTGACCTTGGCTACCTGTCAGGTGCCCATCAAGACACTCTATTACTCCTCTATTCTTCACTGACCTCGGTGTCTGCACAGTTGTTTCTTCCACATATTCTCACTCCTGCCTCCCTGCTGCTGTGGCACAGCTTTTTTTCACCCTTCTTTATTATGTTATCACAGAGGGGCTACCAACATCACTGATTGGCTCAGCCTTGGCCAGAGGTGGGTCCACCTAGGAGCCACCTGGAACTGCCTCTGTTCAACATGGGGGCAGTTTCTCATGTCTTCTCACAGAAGCCACTCCTGCAGTTCCTCCAATACCAAACCTTGACACATACATCCAATACAGTAGCAAGTGCAAACAGGGTTGTAAAGTGTTCTTCTTTGGTTAAAATGTATTTATGACCCTGATAGCTGACTAAACCTGGATACATAGAAAAATGGCAAAATTGCTAAAAAATGGTCCTTTACTCTGTGGGAGGCTTAACATTATAAGCATTCTATCCAAGGAGTTCCTGATGATGCAAACTGTTACTTTAAGAAAAAGCAAATAAAATTAATAGAACATTATCTGCAGGAATGGACTTTGCATTTCTGGAAAAACTGAAGCACTCTTTGTGACTGATTGACAGTTATTTAAGAGCATAAAATACTTCACAGAATCACAGAATCATCAAGGTTGGAAAAGACCTTGAAGATCATCTAGTCCAACCATTGTTGCCAAGTTTGTTGTGGGAATGTGGTGAAAAAACAAAGTCAAACATTTACCTAGTGTTCAAATGTGTTTGACAGCTTTTATGTTTTTGGGAAATTTGCATTTGCATCCCAGTCATGAATACACAGCCACATGGGACTTCAAAGTACAGGTATCTGATTTACTACAAGCCAAATGCTTATCCTCTCTTCCATGAAACATCCTTAGTCCTTTCTTGCTGTGTATCACAGCAAGAACCTGTTTTACTGTGAAAAATCTGAGAGTCTGAAATGTGATTTATATTATTAATTTAAGGCATCTGCTGGACTATACAGCAACTTGCTCTCAATATTCACTCTTCTCAGGAAAAAGTCTGGTTATGATATGTGAATTCTCAGACAGCTGTAAGTCTCTTCTTACATGGAAACCCTACATTGTTCAGTCTCTGGCATCCATATCTCCTAACTATACTCTCATCATGAGGAATCTCTGGGATGCTGTAACTAAGTGATCCTCAGATAATCTTCTTGAAAAATAATTATCTTTTAAAAAGTATTTTTCTATAAGTCAAGATGACAAAACTTGCAGAAAATGAGTGAAAAATTAAAATTAGCATGGCTTCTCTTAGTAGACTAAAAGTCATTGCCCAGTATTTATCAACAGGCACCTCAGCCCCTGATACTCCCGTTGTGTTAGATATTACACAAACACATATTAAAACTGCTGGTCCTGCCTCAAAGCATGTACATTCACATGGCTAGGAAAATCATCCACAAACACAGTAAATGGGTCAAAGTGGTGAGTGAGCGTTCAGTCTGATTAAAGATGAAAACCTGTAGCCATTGGTGCACAGAGAAAGTGTATTACTTATTGACTTATTATAATACTACTGCATTACCTGTGGTTCCTTATTGTGTTGGCTAGGATCCTTTTCATAACTCTCTGCATAGATTCGGAGGGTAGCTCTCACATGGCTAGAAGCGCTCATTCTGAAGATAAGCCTGGAGGCATCTGAAAAAATAATCCGCAGCCCCTATGGAAGAAGAAGGAGAAAAACTTCTTCAGGACCATGTAAACCACTGTTTGGGTGACAATCACAGCATCATATGTTTGGGTTGGAAGGGACCTTAAAGATCATCTACTTCCAACCGCCCTGCCAGGCAGTGACAACTTCCACCAGCCCAGATTGCTCAAAGCCCCGTCCAGCCTGGCCTTGAACCTGCCAGGGAGGAGGCAGCCACAGCCTCTCTGGGCAACCTGCTCCAGTGTTTCACCACTCCCGTCATAAAAAATTTCTGCCTTATATACAGCCTGAATCCACCCTCCTTTAGTTTAAAACCATTACTCCTTGTTCTATCACCACAGGCCCTGCTAAAAAGTTTGTCCACATCTTTCTTACAAGTCCCCTTTAAGTTTGAAAGGCTACATTAAGGTCCTCCCAGAGCCTTCTCTTCTCCAGGCTGAACAATTTCCACTCTCTCAGCCTGTCCTCATATGTGAGGTGTTTCATCCCTCTGATTATTTTTATGGCCTTCCTCTGGGCCCGCTTGAACAGGTCCATTTCTTCTCTGTGTAATGCCCATCAAGACTAGGAAATATACAACAGGAAAACATCCCACATGGATAAAGGGTTGCAGTAGATAGCCTAAGAGATATATATATTTTCCATCTCCAACTTTGGTGATGCCATGAAAATTTTTTAGCTGCTATATCTTAACATTCATCAACAACATAAATCTAGTAGTTTCAATATGTACAACACAAGGGACAAATAAAAATAGTTTACAATTTGGAGACTGAGCTTTAGAGCCTGTTTTTCTAATATTTGCTGTTAAGCCAACTTTGGAATGAGATGGCTGTAACTGATGCTGATGGGAGTTCTGCCACTGATTTCAGTGGAATCAAGATTTCATCTTGGATACCTAGAATTATACAGACAGTTTGTTCCAATCTGATCTGTGAACAAGGGGTTGTATCCCGATGATTGTTCATTTACACTTTATGACAGTGAAAATAAAAGAGATAAATTGAAGAGTTTCACAGTTCTGAGTCTAGTTTGTTTGGAATGGTTGTGAAACCCAGGATCAGCATCCCAAAGTACTGATCAGCATCCCAAAGTACTGATGTCAATCAGCTTTAAGAGAGAAGGCAGGCAGTCTAAAATATCTGCACAAAATGAAAGCATAATCATCAGAGCATGTGTCTTCCTCTCCAAAGACTAAACGGGCATTTTACATGTTCCTACCAGGCTTAGCAACTCCTACAATGACATCCAGCAAGACCACTTGAACACTCTTCCCAATCTCCATGTTTTTCTGGCAATAATTACAACAACATATTGTTACCTGGTTTAGCACATCTGAAGTCTCACCACTCATTAAATTATGGTCTTTGGAATAAAATGGATTTATAAACACTTCCCATAACTCTTCTCATAACTTTATGACACAAAAATGCTCCACCAAACTACAGCACCTGTAGCCAGTTTGATGTTACACTTAATGGCACTTGGGATGTTTATGCAATGTATATAAACACAAAACCAGCATACAGACAGTCCACTGTACTATTTCTGAGCTTATTATTTTATGCATTTTGCATTTCTTGGGGACAAAAAACTGACAGTATTGATTTTTAAACATGCAAGACAACAGCTAATATTTGCCTGTAAGACCAGGATTCCTGCCACAGAGCTGAAAACACTCTGTAAAAGGGAATTACAGAGACACAGTGGCTGTACTCCTTAAAGACAATAATCCTAAGTGCCAGGGAGAAACCACATGCTAGGGAAACAATGGCTTTGAAAGGTGGACTGTCAAAGTCAACTTGTCAAATCACAATATTTGTACCTGGAGATTTAGTTTAACTCATTTTTCAAGAGCCCAGCAGCAAAAATCCTGACTTTTTGATTCTTCCCTAGAAAACAGTGGTTTGAGTACTAGCAAAGCTCTTCACTCAGGAAGGCCACAGAAATTAATGAGTGATATTCAATTTTTTTTATTCCTCACTGTCTCCTGGAAATTATACCCAAAAGCCATGAGTTTAAAAAAAAAAAAAAAAAAAAAAGCCAAAAACACTGCTACCAAATAAATATGAAAAAGCATTGCTTGGAGAATAACCTGTGACTTTTCATCTTGTGTAAAAGACAAAACCAAATGGGTAAATGGGTTTTCCCTGCTTGCTACAGAAAGCCCAGTCTAACATAAGAAAATTTCACTTTTGGACATTTTTGAGCTTTTGCGGTCTGCAAGGTCAAAGCAATCTGGTGAAATTGCAAGTAGCCTACTTACTGTTTGCCATGATGGTATTTTTATGCCTGATATAAACTCTGTTAATTTAAAGCCACATATTTGCCATGTATTATATAGAAGGTCAGATCCACAATTTCATATGCACAATTTAGAAACAAATCCATGTGGAAAAGACAGAAGAGTAACACACTGAAAAGAAACTGAAATACTCTGTCCCAGAGGACAGAATAACTTCCAGTTTTAATAAAACAGAATGCACTATTTGTCACTAGCAAGAATAATGCTTTCTTATGGGAACAGATTAATTTTCTTTTTTTTCTGGGAAGAAGCAGATGAAAAGAAGCAGTTCTGTACAGCTCCCACACTGAACATCTGCAGATATTTATTTTAGGCAAATTGGGCCTGCTAATGGATATTAATGAGCTGTGTGGAAACTGAAACAAAATTAAGTTCCATGGTTGACCCACTAATGTGATGCAGCTTCACAAGGATTTCTCTTTACACATTACAATCCAGTTAAATGTACTAGTATCTATGAAGCACTCAGAAAACTAAACCTACTACATACTGTACTAAGTAGTTTGGTTTCCAAACTAGGGGTTTTCTAGTTACTAATTTCATAATTAAATAAATAATGATGCATTAGCATAGTACGTTAGCATAAACAAGACTAAGCAGCAAACTTAAAGCAAAATACCTTAGTATTCTGAAAATCATTATTAAGGTATAACAGCAGGGAGTAACACCAGTAGACAATCTGCCTAGCAGCAATATATTAGACATAGAGACATATACATAAATTAGAAGCATGTAAAATGGCTACTCTTTTACTTCAAATACTGGCATTATCACAATTTTTATTTCGTCCTCTGCGGATCCTTGACTGTCCCCTTTGCATAGCAGTCCACACTCGCTACTCTGACAGGAAATACCTTATTGCTGATATACAACTGAAATGTCATTCTGAACACAGAATAAATTTTGCCTTATCTCTGGAGAGTGATCTGAAATAATTTTTTTCCAACTTTTCCAATGCCTGTTTCCTGACTCTTGCTCAAACTGAAATGCAAAAAAACAAAGACTACATGCAGAGAGCCCTTTGCATCCCAAATCTAACAAAGGAGCAAGAAAACATTAACAAACTTCTAATAACAAAACTCCAGAGTTTTATTCTGTGAATTTCTGAATGTAAGAACAAGTCATTAAAGAGCTCAAAGTTAACTATTATAACGGGCAACTGTCAGCCTTCTAATTCAAATTTCATACAAAAATGCAACCAGTCCCATTTCTGGCTTGCAGGATCCTCAGGAGCAGCACTGGTACGTGCTCATGTGCGCAAAGGCTAGCACAACAGGACTTTAAAAATGAAAACAGACTTCAAGAACAGCAGAACATTTAATTTAGTTTTATGCCTCTTATTGCACTGTGATAAAGAACATTCATGGGTTTCAATAAAATTAATTAGAAGCTACAGTCTGGGCATATTGTTTGCTGCCTATTTTGTTAAGGCTGCATTTGTTTTCTGAACCTGCTGTTTATTTAACTTTGATTAATTAACATGTAGGCAGTTTCTCATTCACAAGACATAGTGTGGTTAGTTACATTGAATATAAATCTCTCTCCCCTGCCTACTGGGGAACAAAACTTCAAACAGGTTCCTGAACACATAGCTGGAAAATCTGCATGAAGCTCATGATAGTCACAAAGAGGCATTTGCATTTACATCAAAAGCAAGCTACCTGCGGAAAATGGCAGCAGTGAACTGTTGTTTCATTTGCATGGATCAATGTCCTCTCATTTTATTCTGCTTGGAGAAACCCACTGAGGCTGCAGACACATGGAGCTAGGAATGTGTCCTTGCCAAAAGACAAACTGGTTAAACTGTACTCTCAATAAATAGATGCTTCTCCCTATGAAAGGACATGCTTTCTGGTCTTATGAGCTCACTTTCAGAGTCCATCTGAAAATAGGCCAAGTCACATTTCTTTGTTCGTGTTACATAATGATATGATTAGCAATTATATTCTAATTTCAGACAAGGGCTTTGGATGAAAATTAAGGGAAAGAAAACTGCACTGAGAACTCCCAAGTACAAGGTTCACAAGTCTGCCATGCCTGTAATTTTCCAGTGAACTTGGATATGACAATATTCTCATATCTTGTTTCAGCAGTAATATGCACAAAGGGAGTAGCTTAGTGGCAGGTGGGCTGCTTATACTTTCTGGATGCAATGATAAATGGAAACTACAAAAATTGAGTAGAATGCCATAACAATAGTTTTAATGGCCTGTGGTATCATTTGCTAGGGTCTGGTCAGGTCAAGTTAATTTACAAACCAGAAAAACTAGGACAATAAACATCATAAAATCAGAACACATTTTAATATGAGTCATAGCTCATATTCAATATGTTTGAATATACATTTACACCTGCAAAAGTACGCGGTTAGTTTTGAGCACATCATGAGTTTCAAAACACTGAAGGATCAGTTTGAACTGCAGTTTTTGATAGCTAAGGAATCTTATTACAGACACAGCCCAGAAGGAACCCAGAACTGGTCATGTGGGCTTGATAAGTCAAAATGTGCCCACATATGGTGCAATCCACTAAAGACTTCTGCATGTTACTGGCTACAACAGATATAGTGCCTTAATTATGCAAATCCCATGGGTCACCAAGAGCAAGAAAATTTTAACTTTTTTTTTTGTAATAGCAAGTAGAGATTTCAGACAGAAAATAGAAAAAAGACTGTCTTTCTACATGACATTTTGCATTGTTCAGGAAAAGAAAACCCTGCCTATACACGCATTGCTGTCAACAAGGACTCCATCCCCTCCTACTTTCTCTGTGACACTACTGCCTCCAGTTATGCACAGCAAGTGCAGGCTAAACCAGAGGTGGAATATCTTATCCAGATCAAGCTGATCTTAAGTAGGAAATGCAGTACCTATCAGAGCAAAGGAAACACCACCCTATAAATAAATGGAGAGGCTTGCCAGCTGAATGTTAGAAACAATACTGTTAGAGACATGTGACAGTTGCAAAACTTTGGTACTCAATCACTACAGCCATACCTGTCTTTTGGTCACAGTGCCATCCACAGGATCTATGTACTCAAAGCTGTCTGTTCTTTCCACACTGTAGATACTGTTACCCACAGCAAACTGCTGATGGCTGAATGATTTGTCAGTGATCAAAGCTTCCAGGTCTCTCATTATGAAATATGCTGTTCTGGGTTCCAGTGCTTCATAATCAAACCTTGCACATACATAAAAAAAGTAGAACCAAGACGTAAGTCCTGAGAAAACAATTTCCTAAAATTTAATACACTCACAATTAGCAATTTATTGCTTACTTCGGAAATCAGAAATATACCACTGAAGTACTCATGGCAAATTAAAACAGCACACGCATACAAGTCCTGTGCAATGTGACCATTACATGTGTGCACCATCCTACACTGGCCACCTAACTGAGTCAATAGAAATCATTTAGAAGATGCATGGTTTCTGAAGTAGCATAGAAAACATCATCGATACACAGCTAGCTTTCCAAGATTAAGGACACATTCAGTACTATGCTCAACAGCCCAGTGAAATAGAGGAAACTTTGTTACAAGTTTCAAGGAACAGCTGTGCAAAAAACCTTACAGATATGTGAATTCCTTTGGATTAAGTGTATTCTGAGAGAAAGAGAGAGGCAGAAGCTAAAATGTAAATGACAGAATTCACCCTTTTGAGTCCCTACTAAAAAAGAGTGACTGTTCAGATCTTTGGGGGAGTTCTCTTGAATTAAAAGTAGTCACAGTTCCAAATCTCACTAAAACACTGTCACACAGAAGCACATACAGGAATAAATGCAGAAGTAAATCTTGCTGGGATCTTGATTTTTTTTTATTTAACACAATGTAACAAGCTACCTACAGATTTCACAAGTAAATAATTCAAATTTTTCTGCCATTCAGTATCAGAAAATACAATTACTCATATACTAGAAGTGACATATAAACGCTGCTCCTTCAATAAGTAAATAACTTCTGATGCCACTTACTCATCAGAAAACACCTGCCTACAGAACAGTGGCAATCTGTAACAGATTTTCATTCTATGAACACAGCAAATGCACACCTAAATGCAGCTGAACACAGCTAAACAAGTCATGGCAGTAGCAGAAATGTCCTACCAACTGCTTAAGTTCCTATGCCTCTTCTTCATTTTTCTCACCTGCAGTAGTAGTGCCGGCCAAATTTTGCCCAGTGATCCCGGACAATCTCTTCCACGCTCTGCTTTCGAGCCCCTAGGATGGAAAGCCAAACTAATACAGCCCATAGTCCATCTTTCTCTCGAAGGTGATCAGACCCTAAAGAGACACACATAAAGCAAATTATTTGCTATCACTGCAAATCAGAAAACAAGGTAAAAAGGCTGAGCAGATGTCTCATTTAACTTTGTATGTCACATAATGGTAATCAACAGTACTAACCTCAGCAACTCTGGTATCTTCCAGATGGACAACCAGAACTAATGTTTAAAATGTGATTTATTTATATATGACAAAGTCCGTACTCCTAAGGTTAAATAAAAAGATGCACAATTATTTGAATAGAAAAGGCAGTAGTAGGAAAACATTTTTAGTCATGATTCCTACTCCCTGAAATACAGGGTGTTTTCACAGTTCTGGTACTGCCTCCCAGAACTGGGCTAGATATGCAAACTCATAGCCATGAACCAGAATGTTCTATGAGTCGAATTGAACAGCATGTCCTTATCTCTGCAGATGTTCATCTGTCAAGCTGCAGAGAAAGAATTCTCCCATTCCATGAAAAATGAAGATTTCCAGAATGTTCATGGCCTCCCATTAGGATGAAAAACAAGAGCCTAAAAAGTGTTTCTGGAAAAAAAAAACAAACTACAAACCAGAGAAGAGCAGTTTTTCCCCTTTCTGTATTTCTCCATACCTCTCAGTGATAAAGATGTTTGGATGCTGTGCTGATTTAGGCCCTGTCTGGACCAGAGACCACGTTGCCGTTGTCCCTCCCCCACCCTCGGACATAGTAGGGCACAAACCCCGGGTTAAAATAAGAAGAAATTTAATACAACAGTGTAATAAACAATCTGAACAACAACAACAATAGTGATAACAGCAATGAACAGTAATAACAGTAAACAAGACAAAAGATATACAGAGAAATACCGCAATGGACACAGCCAGCCTGCCACACGTGCTTCCTGCGAACAAAGCCACAAAGGAAACCTTCCTGTGCTTGCCACCAGACCTGATGTCAGCATGGTATGAATAACCTGGCTGGAGATCCCTTCTCCCTGCTGGGGAAACTTAACCCTATCCTAGATGAACCAGGACAGATGCTCAGATCTAAATCCCTTCCTAAGTTTATATTTATGAAGAGAGAAATCTATCCAACAATGGAGACTATGAACAATTCTGGAATACTCTCAGATATGGGAGGCACAAGTTCAAGTCTATTATCTGAATTCAAAAGAGCACAGACTTGACCTTGGACTTCCCATGTGCAAAGCCAAAATGCCAACTTAGAGTAAGAGGCTGCTCTGCAATAGACGTGCAATGTATCTTAACCAAAAATATTTCTATGAAGTTAAACTCTACCTGTTAAAACTGGAATGTATCTATATGAAAAAAGTTTCAATAACACCAGTATTCTCTAACAAAAGGCTGTTTCATGAGAAGGTTCTTAGTCATTGAACCAAAATGGTACAGTGAAACATGGATAGAAGAATTTTTGGAAAGCTCTCTGTTGTGCTCTGAGACTTGTTCTGGCATGGCTTAAGCTGCTAAATATCTATGAAGAGGGATGAGTGTATACATGTATAGTTCTTCTAATCCATTTAACAGCTTTAGCATATGCTGTGTCCTTGAGTGTCCTTCAGGAGGACAAATAGATTGTTGCTTCCCTAGAAGGAGAAAACATTGGAAGAAAGTAATCCAGACGCAAAAGTCAGGATGGAGAAGCTGGAAACAACCCAACTGTTCCAGAATCAAAAGTTACCAATTAAAAATGTTAGCCTGATATAAGTACAAGGTAAATAATCCTGTGCACCCAAGAAGCATCTCAGTTCATTATTCTTAATCCAAGGAAAAATTACAACATGGATTTCTCAGTATTTGTTTATTCCACCTTTTTTATTTCACCAGCATATCCATCAACTGGGTTACTATATGCACATATGTTGTTCTATATATTGCCCTTGTTTCTTTTAGCAAATTAAAATCGTTACTGCAACTTGGTCAACTCTGGTTTTCATCTACAGTACCACAGGTGTCTTTGGTGTCTCTAGGTGTCTTTGCCCCCTCTCGCTCACTTACTCGTATTGCCCAGCTGACATGGTAGAAACACTAGGGAGGGAGCTGGTCCTGCTGCCCCAGTTCAGCTAACACCATGTTTCCTTGCTTTATAGATACACTACCTGCTGCTGTGAATCTGCAAGAGGCAGAACTGCCCTACTCAAAGTAATCAAGTTAAAGGTGCCTCGCAACTATGTATATCTGAGATTGCAATAATAATAGCCCTCCTGGCTTGCTGAGAGCTATCAGCAATCTCAGAATAATTCTCAGTGATACTTTTAATTGAAATATCCAAGACATTAACGAATTCCAGATTGTTGAAGGATCTGAAGCAGAAAGAGACAATAGTAGAGAGGAGCCAACAAATATTTTTCTGATTATCATATTATATTTAATTTGTCATTGGTAAGGGAAATTACAATAACTGCAACTACTCTGACAACTTATTTTTTAGTTTATTTGTCACATATTTCTCCATGGCAGTAGCAAAAAGTTATTTTTTACTACTGCAACAGTCAATTGCTGTGGCTGAACTCAGAGTAAACAATCTGGGAAAAACTCTCTAAGTATGTTCCCATTCATAAGAAAGTACTCAGCTTAAACAGGCTTAAACTGAAGTAAATCCTCGAGAGACAGTAGTCTGAGAAGCAAAGTAAGATCATGCAAAATGTTCATGTTACGATTTTTCTGATACTGTAAAGCTGTTGGACATGCAGACTGTCTTCTACATGTCTAACTTATTCTGTATCTGACATTTCCCATTCCGATAGAGACAGTGAGTCCTGAGGGTCATATGCTTGAAGAAAATGTAATTGCTTTTCCCCAAATTAGTTATCTCTGTGTTTTGTAAATGCTATTTTAAAACTAAAATGTGACTCAAGTAAGTATACAAGCACATGGTAAATCACTTTGTTTTCACACACTTTGAGTCTTACAATCTTAAAATCCAGCAATCTGAATCTTGACAATATTTTAGGCAAATGGAGATTTAGGGGTATTCTGATCTGTTTATTTATTCCAGTTAATTAGATTATTTTAGATTTGTGTTACTGTAACAAATACCACCACAGAGCTCTTTTAAGGCTTTCATTCATTTCAGCAGCAGCACATTTTTGTATTCTCCACTAGTTCATCTTCTTACATAATCTTGCAGGAGAAGGCAGATGTTGTTAATAGCATCTGGAAATTTGGAGATGAAGCATACAAATTTATGAAAGATGTAGCAATTACTGAAGTGGCTTAAACTGTAGAAGGATAAATCAGCCACATAGCACTCCTAATCCTGATTAATAGTTTGCTGATGAAATTTAGAAACTAATTGCTGCCGCTGACGCCCTTCTCTGAACCGTGTCCTGGGCATTAGTCATATAACCAGAAAGATACTAACCTCATCAGACAAGCTCCCCACAGTGCTACAAAAATGGAAGAAGTTTTTAAAGCACTGGTTGAGCTCCAAGATCAGCTGCCAGAAAACAAGCCTGGGAAACACAGCCCTATGGGATGTTTTCAAAATCTTTTGTCCTTTTATAGCAGAAAATTTGCTTTTATTTACTTGCCAGAGCAAAATCCCTTATGTTATAAAACCAAGGCTCTGCATTATTTAGAAAATCCAGCTGGACTGGATCACCTGGGTACACAAGCAATAGGTCTCCAGTGCTGTTCATTTAGTTTGACAACACAATGTGGATCTGTAAAACTCCTTTCTCTTTCACAGAACAGCAAGTTTCCTACTCTGATCAGCTGTGTGGTACATTTCTTTCAATATTCCAACCTGAAAGCTAAAGAAGTGCCAAGTTTCAGTTCCCTAAATAGATAGGATCATGGGGAAAGCTGTAAAATTGATTCAAATGACCAATACTGGCAGAAACTTGTGAAGGTCACACTATTTAGGACATTACTAAAAGATTTGCAATAAGATAAATATTTATTGCTAAAAACAACTCACATCACTGAAGTATTGGTCATCTACAGACCAGACTGCATTTTACAAATAAACCTTCTGGCATATAAAATATTTTCAGACAGCTGCACTGAATTGAAAGATGATAAGGAAACTGAGGCAGGGAGAAAAACAAACTTTAGGCATCATAGTCATTGCATAATTGCCCTATAGGTATTGTCACAATTCATTTACACAGCAACTACACACAAGCTAAGGAATTTAAACCCAGGGCTCAAGTTGTCTGGATGCCCACGGGATTGAATCTTGAGGGTTCAGATTAGCCTTTAAATGGCATTGGATAAAATGAGAGGTCAGTAGGCTTTCTGCACTGAAGTGCTGCAAGTACAATAAAGCTCATCTGACCAGAGCGTGCTGGGATGCACAGATTAAATACTGCTGTAGAGCAGCTGTCCACAATGTCCAACAAAATGTTGCTCAAGCACCCTTAGAATTCACAAGGGACAGAATTTATAAGGAATCTCAAGAATTAATGATAGGATAGGAGAACCAGATTAAGACAGGAACACAGAGGGTACTAGGAATTCAGAGACTGGTTTGAGGTCAGGAGACATGAGCTGCAAAATCAGAACAGAGGCTACAGTACAAAATGCAATTGGTTAGGGCCCTATAGAAGGACACAAGCAAAGGAAAAAAATGAAGAGTAAGAACAGAGAGAAGTTAGAGGAATTATCTTGCCTACCTAGAAGAACAGACAAACTCTAGAGGCCCTTCCTTGACCTCTGTGAGACACCTGTCCCTCTTTCCCAACTTCAACAATCAATCTCAATCAACAAATCTCCTCAAATGAGACAAGGCTTCTTCTAAGTGACCAAAGATTCTTCCCTTCTCCCTGAGACAGAAAGCATCTGCAGTTGTACGCAACATCACCAAATGAAGATGGTCTAGGAGCTTTATTTCCCAAAGCAGAAACAGGCTGGAGGCAGTGGTTTGTCATGGCATATGGCACACAGAGGCCACCCCTGCCTGATTGACACGCAGGAGCTGCTGCACTCCATGGACTAACGTACCTAGACATACTTCAGCCTATGAGAACTCACCATCAAACTCTTACAAGCTCCTTCCAGTCAAAACCCACACTTCTCTTTCTTCAACATAATGATGAAGGCAAGAACTTTTTTCAAATAATTTGGGTGTTAATGAGGTCACACAGATGTCTCAAGATCCACCTGAGTTTCATGGAAATATCTGGTTTTGGATGAGCAGGAGGAACCAATATTTAGAGGGAAGGGATACAGAACTGGCTGGTGAAAAAAGCATCAAAAAGCAGTGAGAGTCGAAAACTCCCCAGGTCAAACCTGTCAGGGGCAGATGAAAAACACACCACAACAAACGGTGGTACCTTCTGAAAGATACTAGATCCTCCTACCCCTCTCTCCAAGACAGAATTCATGCAATGACCTTGCAGAACACCCTTTGAAAACATCTATTCAAAAGATGCATTCAAGGCCATACAAATCTGTAGCAGTCACATCAGTTAAGCCAACGTGTCCAGGTTGCTAATCATGAGACATTGGTTACCATTAACAACAGAAGGAAAATAAACATTTGTTATTAATTTAAATTCTTTTATTTTTTACATATAGACACCCAAAGAAATTGAACACATTTTTAGTTCTTCCATCACAGTCCATTCAGATACTTATAGACAGTTAATGACAGGCTAAAATATAAAGTGGCATGTCTGTGGCCTCATTTTTAAAAAAGTAGCATTCTACTCTAATTGACCTTAGCCAACAAACTTCATACTGGACTTAATCAAAGCAAAATGAAATTTGTAACCAAGTTTTACTTCATGATAAATTCTTTTCTATGAAAAGCTGTAGGCAATGTATTATACACCAAAATAAAGAACTCCGTGGAACTCATATCAAAATAAAGAATAAATTATTAGCCAGGCAAATGGTTATTCTGATATGTGCTCATCAAAAACACTTCTAAACATAACCCTACTAATAAATAAAAAGAAGAAAGAATTTTTGTGCCAGAATCCAGGAAAGAAAAAAAAAACCCACTGTGAAATTTATTCATTTTTTCTCATAAACCAAACCCACATTTGTACAGATTTTCAGACTACATATTTTAATTGTTTGCGCTAATGCTTCCTGTCAGTACTGAATTCATGAGGGCTCAAACTTGTCTTTCATTCTGCATTCTATTGTTTGACTGGTTCTCAGGACAGGTAAGGGAGAAATACTTAGTAAAAACATATATGCCAACATATAACTGAATTTCTTCTAATGGTGATTTTACCTAAGTTGTGGTAATTGTGATGTTCCAAAAAGGGATACCTGCAACAGGTCTGGTTAGACACACCATTATCTCCTACTTTGTACACTGAATCACAATACAGGCAAAACCCCTCCAAATGCTGTTCCAGTCTGAAAACACTGTTACAGTGGAACCAGTGAGACCTTTCTGCATTATGCTGAAGTCAAAAGAGCATGCCAGGCACCTCCAAAAGCTGTCTGGGCAGTGAGAAGATTGCCTATGGCTTCTGAATGTCCATCTTCCACATTTTTCATACCTCAACATACTGGGCACCAGAGTTCCAAGAAGACCCTCAAGATGGGAACAACTGACTTCTCTGTTCCAGCACAAGACAGTGTTAATTTGCTGATTCCTTTGACTCGAGGCACCCAGGAAAATGAAGAGTTGTCAATCAAAGTCTGTGGAAATCTTTGATTATGTATTACCTACCAGTGCCAAAGCTTTCCTCTCCACAAAGCGAGCAACGTCCAGAGTCCATGAGATTGGAAAAATACCTCCATCCTGCTGGTGTCTCATACACAGGCACCTTCATTGCTTTTGCCACTCTGGAAAAGACACAGTAACATATCACATGAACAAAACACTACTTCTTTTACATATGGCCTGAGATCAGTTGAGAAATATTCTAGGTCTTGCTACACATCTGACAGCTGGGCTGTAAGTGAAAAAAACCCAACAGAACAGTTAAACAGCACCATTCAAAACTGATCCTTGTCTTAGAACTGACTTCAGTCAGAACCCAGGTATGTTTAAACACTAAGTGTAGTATTTTGGAAAATGTAGGACCTCAGCTTAATAGGCTTTACCCATATTTTTCTCTTGTTATTGAGCAAGAAAGAGTTATAACTAGAGACAGAGAGTTTTGTTACACTAATATTTTAATGAAAGTTAAGGCATCATGTTGAAGTACCTTCCTTTACAAAACACAGGTGGCCAACACCAATATGCTTGAAAGATACTTCTGTTTGTATGTTCAAAGCCAAGACAACACAGGAATGTTTCCATGATGTTTCCATCTCTTCTAACAAACCTTTTTCAGTCTCAACCTGAGTCTGAACTTACTTTCCCTATCTCCTCTGACACACCTGTATGAAATACTCCCACTAGCTGGCTGACCTGCCAGTATTTTCAAGAACCAAAATAAACCACAATATAAGCTGGATGTGCTTTCCCTTCTCCAGGCTGTTAACTAGTAACTAGCTATTACTGTTATGAACTCTAATGAAAAACAACCTTTCCTGGACTGAAAAACAAGAAAGAAGAAAAAAACACATATCCTCTAAGGAACTCAACCTGGGATTTATGCAGAATTAATATCACCATTCTTCTGGTTTCTAATTGTATTGCTTGTTTTCATTGTGTGCCTAGGATTTTCAGAGCCAACTCTTTTATAATATGAAAAACAACACTTGATATATAGTCAATCTGACTGAAAAGGACCTTACAATCTTCCTAGGACTGCTGCAGCAATCACACCCAACAAACATTTCCTGAATTCCACTCCCACAGAAGAATACTTGACATGAGACAATTTACATAATTTTAACTGCAGTCAAGCCCAGGCAAAGCAGTTCAGTCAAAGCAGGATTCAACACGCTTAATACAATCCACCTAGAAGTTACATGTCAAGGCAAACACAGTCCCCTCTCGGATCAACAGACACACCTGTTTTCAGACAGTCCATCTTAAAGTAGACATGTAAGGTAGATGGGATAAACTGTCAAATACGCAAATACTGACCCTTTCAGAACCTGGTACATAAATGTACCTAAATAACAGTTCAGCCCTTAAGTAACCTCTTTGAAATCTTTAAATTGTTCATAAGCACTGGTATTAAGTCTCCAAATCCACTTTTGTTCTTATGCAATAAACATCCATTGTTATCTAAGTCTCCTCCTATTCAGCCTAGGTGTTCATTTCTGTACTTATATTACTTAAACATTCCCTTTTTTTAATAAGATAGAGTAAAAATTGCTGATGCTTATTTCAAGAGCTAAAGAGGTACCTGGAGAAAAAAATATTATCAAAATGTTTAATCTTAAACTCAGTTTTTGAGTCTCTAGTTTAGAGGCAGAGTAAGTGTATACTTCCTCATGTTTATACAGCACTACCTAAATTATTGGCCCTTAGAAATGCTGCTGCACAAGGGAGGTTATACAGTGTAGAGCTGAACATGGATTTGGCTGGCTCTGCAAAAAAATTAAGAACATAAAAGGATTTAATCTCTGTGTGACAGTAACTGTAGGCTGGGAACGGGCCAGCAACTAGAAAACAATCAACTAGAAAACAATGGCTAACATGTTGAAGAGCAAAACCAATTCTCTCGAGGTAGCCTAACAATACAACAGAACTACTATCTCTGCTTGCAGAAATGTTCCCATATCCTGGTACTGGTTCTGCAGAAGGAAAACCTTTCTCTTTCACTTCTCTGTATTTCTCTAGTGTGGCAATAAACAGTCTTGGACAGACCCATCTTGATCAGCACCAAACGCTTCCAGAAGCTGTAATGGTTTTCAAAGGTTTCTGTGCATTAGGTTAGCACTGAAAATACAGCTGTTGATTGTGTTAGCATTCAGCTTTCTTTATACTAAGCTTTTCAAACAAACAAAATCTAAACATATACATACAAAGTATATACTGAAATATCACAGATAGTGCCTTGCAATATTTCTTTGTTCTTGTCTCTGAAGACTTTAACAAAGTAAATAAGTAGAAGTACACTGAAAATTAACCATACTCTTTTTTAACTGTCATTTTACTGAATTAAAGAATCATCACTGGAAGTCTCAATGAATGCAGAATGTGTCTTTATGAAAACTACAGACAGTTAAGGTGAATGATCACCCCAAGAAACACAAGCGTGGTTCCCAGAGGAAGATGCAAAAAATTCTCAAAGCTGTAGACTCAGAGAAATAATGCACTGCATCAGATCAAACAAGTAACAATGCAAACTACTGGAAAATAGCCTCAGAGGAAGGAGACTAATGTTCTGTAACTGGGAAATTACTAGATCTTCAAAGCCAAGGAAAACAGATATTAAATGCGGGG